ACTCAAATTCAAAATCTCTAAAGATGATAACTTCTCAAAATCATCAGGTATCTTCCCGAATATCTTCCATGCACGAGCATTGAATTCGACTAACGAGGAAAGTTTCGAGAAAGAAGATGGAAGCACCTTTCTCTTCGCACTAGTAGCTGGCTCTGATACTAGAGAAATCCGAGAGGCCTGGCCATAGGGCTTCTTTGCCATTTTCAACGTCCTTAAATTATCAAGCATCCCAAATGTTTCAGGTAATTCAGTAATGGCAGTTTCCTCCATGAACAGGTGATACAAGTTTTTCAATTTTCCAAATGAATCAGGTAATTTGCATAGTTTCTTGCACTGATTCAATCTAAGGACAATCAGATTCTCCAACAATCCTATAGATTCTGGTAACTCTATTATGACAGTTTTGTTTAAGATCAACGTATGAAGGGCTGACAAGTTCGCTATTGATTCTGGAAGTGTGCTAAGATTCTTGCAATCTCTGATTTCAAGCTTCTTAAGTGATTTCAAAAAACCAATTTGATGAGGTAAACCAGTGATTAAAGTCCTGTCTAACTGAAAAGCGATCATTGAAGACAACCCTTCAATAGTAACTGGCAATGTGTGCAAACGTTTACAGTCTCCCACTGATAAATCTTTCAGATAGTATAGTGAACCAACAGATGCTGGTATAACTTCTATGGAGCTACCGTTAAGCAAGAGTTCAGTCAATGATTTGAGATTTCCAATGGAATCTGGAATTGCAATTAACGATTCACACCACATCAAATTTAGAATCTCGAGATTTCCCAAAAAGCCAATGGAATCAGGTAATTCTTCCAATGCAGAACCAAGAAGAGAAAGTTCCCTTAAGGAGCTAAGCTTTCCTATGCATTTGGGTAGTCGTTTCAACGATTTGCAATGGTTCAGGGAAAGCTTTTCGAGACAAGTTAGCCTGAATATAGTTTCAGGCAGTTCATCTATGGCAGTTCTATCAGCTAGAAGTTCTTGCAAAGACTTCATGCTGCCAATGTTCCAAGGTAGATTTTTCAGTTGTAAACAACCAGAGAGAATGAGTACCTCGAGACGTTTTAGCCCAGAGACATCACTTGGGAATTCGACGAGGCTTGAACATTCCCTCAAGTTGAGATGCCGTAAAGTGTCCAGCCCGCCTACTGATTTGTGTATAGTTTTCAGATTAACGCAAAGCTCGAGTATCAGCTTTTCCAGGGATTTGTGCTCAGACAAATCAGGAATTGCAGTCAGGTTACAGCAATTATAGAGATTTAACACAGTAAGTTTATTTTCCACCTGGAAAATAGAGAAACTTTTCCTTTGTTAGTCAGCAAAAAAAGAAGTACAAGCATTTCAACAGAGGATTAATAGAGACAGAAATCACGCACAAGGGAGCCTTTAATTATTTGATGTCTTCCCTGTAGTGGTTCTTGATATTAATAACAGAAGTTGTTTTCTTCTATTTACATGTGTTGTGCTCTACCATAATAAAATAATCTTGTTTGATTTATCACTTTCTCAGTTCATTTTCTGTCTCATTTCCTTTGTTGTGACGAGCCCAAGCTCATTTTACAAACCTTTCATCAATGATCTA